CAACTTCGAGCGAAGTCCTTGTTGATTTTTTCCTCGGTAGTAATGACGATTTGATAGCTCAGCACGGTGGAAAATATCATTTGCTTATCCTTAGTAATCTTAGGTTTTTAACCTTGGAGCGGAAGGGAATTTATTGAGAAAAATCACTTATCTTTTATGAGCGTTTTGGAGTTTTCGTTGGGGTACTACTGTATCTATGTTCAGAAGCGCTTCGCTTTTGCCGAAATGTGCAAGCAAGTGACCGATTCTCTAATGGAAGACAATATTCGTGGTCTGGATGTGGAAATTCTCAATAAGGTTTGTAATGCTTTTCTTCACTGCGGGACTGGGGCAATTAAAGGACGACAGTGCAAATTTACCGTTTTTCAGCATCAGTATTAATATTGTATTTAAAATTACTAGGATGCTAAAGTTTCTTGATTAAACGGACGACAAGGGTCATGATATGCTTATATTATGTCAGGTTTTTAGGAGATAATGACTAGTGTTTTTGTAGGTCTCGGATGGAACGGAGGACAGGTTGAAAGTGAGACTGACCTATAAAGAATTGTGCATTCCGGATTGTTTTGTGCAGGCAAATTTGATCACTTTGAAGTAGAAGTCCTCTGGTGCTTACTAATCTTAATTTTCTTTCTGGTGTCAGAACAGTCGAAATTAACGGATCTGAACTGAACTATGCCCTAAGCACTAGCGTATTGGCTTCCGATGTGCCATTTTATTTTGAACGGTGTGATTAATTTATTTGAAGTCGTCTCTTATTTCTACTTCAGAGCGGTCAATAGTCGTTATGCTTATAGCAACATAATTGAATCTAAGAAGGATTTTCGAGTGTAGATTTATTTTTGTATCTCAATGCTCTGGCGTGCGATTGCAGTACTGCTTGTTAAATGTGTTGTTGTTAATGTGTTTCTCCGGTTATGTCAGCATTTGTTATTTCATTGTGTTATTTCATTTCATTTATGGGTACAGTTTATTGAAATCAGGCGTAAACACGATCTTCAGTAGGTGGATCGGTATTCCGCTCAGTCCAC